GGATTTGGACCACAAAACAATGGGGTGGTGGCAGTGGTCCAGCTGTGCGACGAATGCCGACAACAGGGTCCGCCAGCGCACCCCGCAGATGTTGGCATTTGTTATTGCGCACAGATAACGCCTGCCAGAGTCCGATGTGGCCCCCGTGTTGGTCCAGCGCATCTAACACGTGGCCCGTTTAGAGGGCACATATCAGGACACACATACACATACACACAGTTTAACCCTCGTGCGTTGTGCAACAGCGTGGAAGCATAGACGGTGAATTGCGCTTGAGGTAGTTTATGGTGATAGCAGATTTGGGCAGCATCCACCGAACTCTCTCCACACCTAGGCTTAGTGTCATGGAAGAGTCAAGAAGATTGGGGGCAGAAAGAGAAGCAGGGAGCTGGCACGGCGTGAACCGGCACCTAGGTGTGTCACTACACCTTCAGGTTAGAACATAACCTGAGTAGGAGTGCCAAAAGTCCACATTGAGAAGAAGTCATTGCACCCTCATTCTCCGTCTTGTGAGGAGGACTGAGTTATCCCGTCGCTTGGCAGTTTGCCAAAGCACAGCTCTTAACGCACCGTGGCAGATTCGGGCGCGTCGGACTATTTATAATGAATAGCATCCGCGGATGGCGTGGGCTTCTCTCTCACTTCTCATTCTCAGGCTGGTCAGTTTTCTGATGCGAGGATTTGACTGACAGAGACAAAAACAGCCTGAGCGTGCTACACCCGTGAACTGCCCACCATTGGACACAACGGGACGTGCTGCCCGGATGTCAGACAAGTTAGGATGGCGGAGGCGCCTCAAGGAGAACAGCCGAAGATCACGTTTCTCACTTAAGCGGGAAGTGCTTGTTCCGTGCATGCAGTGGGTGATATGGAGGGGGGTTGGTGGGTTAGACGTGGTGGTTGGATTTCGCCTGCGATAGTTTACCGCAGATTTGCATGGAGGCATATATGGCCCACGCGATGTGTGAACGTGTGTGGACAGTGCGGACAGTGGAGGCGGGTGCGGTAAATTTATTTTGGGTTCCCTGGCACTCGTTCACTAGCCTAAGCGTGATAGATTTGCAAGCGACCGACGAGGCTGATGTGTGATGTGAAGGTGTGATCGCAACGAGGACAGGTTGTGATGGGGTCCACATTGCTGGTGGTGGTGTCGGTGGCGGTGACGGTATTGGTCGAGGGGACGTCGGGGGGG